TATTAACCTAAATATATATATGGTAGCAAAATGTCATAAAACTGGAAAGAACCTGTGAAACTCTGTATTTCACTATTTAAAACCTTATCATATTTAAAAAAAAACCCATTTTTTTCTGAAAACGAATCCTTTATCAATGCTTTCAGCATAGTTGGCAGGAAAATAAGATTCTTACATCGTCTGTTCAATAATTTTATAAAATTTCAATTAGTTTAAATTTTTTTCTTTTCTTTGGTCAAATAAATTAAGCTTCACTGCATTACTTAAAATGCGAAAAAAAAAATTAGAAAACACTTCCCATGGTGTATTAAATTAAAGGATTCAAGGATGCTTAAAAACTTGAAAGTTTGCTCATCAATTCCAGTAGATACCAGAGTACGAAAAATTGCGAAAATTTTTTTAGTCTTTTGTTTTTCAGTTTTTTTTTTCACATTTTTAGACGATTTAGTATCTTTGGTGAACAATCAATTCAATTTTTAAAAATTGTTAAAACCACACAAATGCTTCGTTTAGGCTCACAATTGGTGGTGTTGGTGTTGCTAAATGCTTACATAATCCATTAGATGCCATGACCACGTATATATAACATACAATCAAGGTACTTCGTTTTAATATTAGACAGAGCATAGGCGTTATGACCCAGCGAAAAATTAATATTTCTTTAAATTTGAATTTATTTCACCGAGGTTCACTTAATCGAGATCCGTGTTTGAGTTAACCTTACAAAAGAACTAAAAGACGTATATATTTGCATTAACACAAATAGTCAAAGAATAATCAAAGCATTGTCTTTCACTAAATATCGGGTAATGTTGTATTATCTGCCTGGATACACCGGAATAAAAGATAATAAATCAGGAGACAATTTTGCAGGGTCTAAAATACTTATTGAATTCAGTAGAATATAGTTGAAGTTGTTCGAAGGTCGTCTGGCTAGTGTTATCACTTTAAGAAGATGTTTGTGGTTGTTTTTTTGTGGAGATCAAATCTTAGCTCTCATGGAAAGCCTATAAGATCTCAAATCATATTCTTTGCGACTATTCGGCATTGTTCTGGGCTAAGAAAAAATTACTTAACAGGAATCTGCATAGCCTAGATTATCTTCTCAACAAGAGGGGTCTGTCTTTTGAAACAGAGTGTCAGTTGCGGTTGAAAGATGATGAAGTATCTAGTTATATTTTTATATGACTGTGCGACTTTAATCTAAAGTAAATCACTCGACCAGGAGTTCTTATCCTCATCTGATGCTAAGAAATCTTTAATGACTGATATTTTGTCTTTTAAGCGAAGGGAGGAGTATTTTCAATTTAGTTAGCAACAAAAAAAAATAGTAATGGTCGCATTTTTTGCTCTGATGGAAACCAGTATCCTCTAAGTTTTATGTTGTCTTATCTCATCTAAAACTTTAGAACAGTCCTATGTCAATTAATTATTTGTGTTTTTAAATCATTCTAAATGTTCGGATAGTTAAGGTTCAAATGGAATGAAATCTGCAAAAAGCTGGTCCGTTGAACATATTCACAATGGAGGTATATAGGATAGAGGCAGTGAGCCTTTTTTACATTTATAAAGCAGAAAATAAAAATAAATCGACATATAAAAATAAATGTCGATAAAAAAAAACGAGCAAATACCAAAAATGTCATCCAATCAAAAAAGTACAGATCATTTTTTGTTCCTTAAATATCCTCATTCCCTATACTTCCATCTATCACATTTAGGTCATTGAACATTGTTTTATTATGAAATACCATTTAGGCAATAGTTTTATGGTGTCGGTCCATATTTTTCTGTTTGGTTATACACCAATGCAACGAATATAAAAATGAGACTAAAGTTAAGTCATCAAATTCCAAAAAGAAGAAAATATCATTGATTGTCTAAACCTGCAAAGGAACTATTGCACATATGGGATCACCACCCATTTACTCCCCCTTGTTTACGTTCATGAAGCGAATATAAAATATTGTATATTTGTAAGTTCAGCTTTCAAATTCCAACAATGATAGGATTGGCGTAATCAACAGAGGAATGGACTAGCACATATGTGTAGCTCTTTTCGTAGACTATATAATTTTCCAGTGACGATAACGGGAAATGATTTTTAAAAAGAAAAAAAGGCCAAAAGTCAGCACAAAATTTTTTAGAAAAATTCAATTCTTTGATTTAAGAAGAAAAATTTTGCGAATGAGTGAAATTTGTCGCACCATAATTTTTGAACTATTGGAGATAGAGTACCTTTGTGACACAAAGATTTTGAACTATTGCAGATAGGGAAATGCGACCCTTATGCTTCTCTCTTAACTGCTTCCCTTCCATTTAATCAAGCAATCACTTTTCAAGCAATCCTATCAGAATAAGAATAAGATTTAAGAAGGAAAATTTTCCGAATGACTGAATTTTGCCACATCATAACTTTTGAACTATTGCAGATAGAGTAACTTTGTGATACAGAGATTTTGAACTATTGCAGATAGGAAAATGCGATCCTTATGCTTCTCTCTTAACTGCTTCCCTTCCAATTAATCAAGCAATCACTTTTCAAGCAATCCTATCAGAATAAAAATAAGATTTAAGAAGGAAAATTTTCCGAATAACTGAATTTTGCTACACCATAACTTTTGAACTATTGCAAATAGGGAAATGCGATCCTAATGGCTTTCCCCCCCTCAGTTGTTTCTCTTCCATTCAATTAAGCTATCACTTTTGAAGCAATCCTATCAGAATAAGAATAAGATTTAAGAAGAAAAATTTTCCGAATGACTGAATTTTGCTACACCATAACTTTTGAACTATTGCAGATAGGGAAATGCGATCCTTATGGCTCTCTCCCCCTCAGTTGTTTCTCTTCCATTCGAGCAAGCTATCACTTTTCAAGCAATCCTATCAGAATAAGAATAACAGTTAAGAAGGAAAATTTTCCGAATGACTGAATATTGCCACACCATAATTTTTGAAGTATTGCAGATATAGTAACTTTGTGACACATAGATGTTGAACTATTGCAGATAGGGAAATGCGATCCTTATGGCTCTCTCCCCCTCAGTTGTTTCTCTTCCATTCAATCAAGCTATCACTTTTCCAGCAATCCTATCAGAATAAGAATAAGATTTAAGAAGGAAAATTTTCCGAATGACTGAATTTTGCTACACCATAACTTTTGAAGTATTGCAGATATAGTAACTTTGTGACACATAGATGTTGAACTATTGCAGATAAGGAAATGCGATCGTTATGGGTCTCTCTCCCTCAGTTATTTCTCTTTCATTCAATCAAGCAAACCCTCTTCCTATCAGAATAAGTGTTCCTACTAAGGCACAATGTCCTTTTCCTGCTGGGTTTTGGAAAATGTGTGCTTTGTTGTAGTTGTGTGCGTATATTTCCACAATGCGTACACTTGCCATTACACACTAACAGCCATTTATACAAGTCAAATCCGTTGGCGCCAAGCGTCTTCAATGGCGGAAAACAAAAAAGGAGCAAAAAGTGCCAAAGGTATCACGCAAACGATAATTTATATCCTTAAAGTTTGCGTGAAACTTTTTACCAGTTTCGTACGTTTGCAATTTTTAATTCTTGAGCTGTAATTTTTTCCATCTCAAAATTTTTCTTTATTTTTTCCAAGTTCATTTTATATATGAAGATATTTTTTTATCTTTTTCCATAATTTTTTTTTTGTTTTGTTAAATTTATAAAATTTTCAAAAGAATCTGCAAATTGTAAAAATTCAAAGCCTTTTTGGCTCATTTGTGAATTGTTAGAAAGAATCCTTTGACATAGCTTGGAACATAAAGCAAAGGACGACGCGTTGGCGGCAAAAACTTTGCAACCAAGACGCAGCAAATTTTTCGAATGTTACCGCTGCTGCCGATTGAAGTCGACAATTTGCTGCTGCTATGGATGCTTGACCATTTTCTTTTCGCATATTTAAAAGATACTTCTGAAGAGAAGTAGAGATCGAGAACATGGCGGAGTGATAGATCTGCGGAGGGACTGACTATTAACTCCTTACTGATGTAAGTGAATCAATAGAAAAACTATTTAACTTACTGGAATTTTTCTTAGAATTTTTGCTATTTGAAGTTGTGTCGTTTTGTTGTTGTTTTCGCTTAACAAAACCTTCACATCCATGGCGTAACTCGGAAGAAGGATGCATAATGTAACTTTATGGAAAACTTTTTTAACAAACTTCTTTAGCTTCACATTTCTGTGTTTTAAATATGCTTCAGTAAGCAAATGCTCCGTTTAAGTTTATGCTCAACTTAGTACAAATGCATTTCGCTGCAGATACAAACTACAGTATCTCGTAAATTTCAGTAGTAAACTTTTGCATTAGATGTTTTATTTCTGCTTTTTGTTGAGATGCAAATGTGCCAAAGTGTCACAATAAATTGCTAAATTATTTTAAATAATTTCAGTGCAACCCTTCACATTTTTCTTCATGTGTGTAATTTATTTTTGAATTTATGAAGTTGTTGCAGATATAAAAATCATTTGGTTTTTAGTTTATTTTAAAGAAAAGAAAATATAAAAAAATTTTTTTTTAACTTTTTTTTTATTTAATTTGTTTAAGTCTTCTCCTGCTTTGAAGACTTCATAGTTCTTACATGCTTCAGTGGGTTTCATTGGAACCAAGAACCAAGTTTTCTAAAGCAATCACTCACGCAATTACATTTTAGTTCCTCGCCGCTTATGTTATATCCTATAAATAAGATATATCCTTTTTATGAAGTGTCATAAAAGCGGTTCTTTTTAGTTTTATAGTTCGAATTTTATGTGTTATTTTTATCTGCAAAACTTAAACTGCTTTAATCAATTTGCATATCATAAAAACTGAATAGACAAGTGCAACTGTTAACTCAAAGCAACCTCATCTATGATATGTAAATTCAATACTAAGTCGTAAAAAACTAAGCAATCCTTGAAAAGCTAGAAATTAAAGGAGCAAAAATTTTTGTAGAAAATAATTAAATAAAATTTTTTCTTTTAAAATATAATTTCTACTAAATTGTTTCTTAAGTAAAAATTTTGCCTTCAACTTTAAGCATTTCTAATGCGATTCGGGTCTTATTAGAAATTTTGGACCAAGGGGCAAATATCACAAAAAACGAGCTAAATACTATCAAAAATCAATTGAAGATATCAAAGACCTGAGATCAATTGAACTTCAAATCAAACCCACTCTTAGATTCATTAAGCGAAGTATGATAATATAACTAACTACTAACTACATTAGACATCGCCGTAAGTTCTTACCTTATAGTAACTATAAAATTGTCATATGCATGAATATATTATAAATATTTAAATGAGAAATTATTAGCTATAAATATTTGATACTTAATAATTAAGTGACTAGAAGGTATAAATAATGATTTATAATATTTAGTAATAAATAATGTTTTATAGGAACTAATGAAATAAATAGGATGTTAAAATATCCGACCTATGAAAGAAATTCAACAAATCAATATTATCTAGTATATAGCAAAGAAATAACACAAATTTAAAAATATATATATATAACTATATATATAATATATGTGTAAGATAGATTTATTGGTATAAGGAAAATATAATTTATAATCAAAAATAATAAACTAAATATAATTAAATGTAATAAAATTTAAAAACTCAAGGGACCGACTGCCACCGCACTATTTCTACCACTGTTAATTTACGACATCTTCTTTACGACCGCCACTTTTCGACTACTACTTTACGACTTCTGAATTCCACCCACGGTTGCCACTTGAAAATTTTTTCCTGTACCAAAATTGGTTTAAAAAGGTACCATTTCTGTAAAAAAAGGTCCAAAATTTTTTTGGACCTCTTTATTTTTTCGTTCTGTGTTTTTCATAGTGTTGAACAAATGAACAAAATATAAAATAGTGTAAAGTTGCATTTATAAAAAAAATTAATTGGAAATATCCACAATAAAGTTGGGTCGTCAAAACTGTATCATTTTTTGAACATGAGTACCAAACGAAAAAAAAAGTACCAATTTTGGTACTAAAGTACCACAAGTGGCAACCGTGATTCCACCACCAAACATCAACTCTCGACTTTACCTCGTTCCTTCTTACATTACTTCTATAACTGGCGTTGCCACCTTTACATATATAAATATAACATTGTTTTAGTAAAAATTTTTAAATTTTTTCACTCAGCTCTGTTGTATTTTATTGCCTAATTTTCTCCAGTTTAATCTATGTTTTTTCCTATTTTTTTAATACAAACTACTATCAGTTTTAGTAGAACTTCCTGACCTACAGTGCAAACAATTATATATAGTATTCCACAAAACCGAAGTTCTCAACCTTCGTAATAATAATTCGTAATTAATATATCATACAAAGAATTTTCATATAAATCACCTCATTATAAATAAATCAACTGATTTAAGGCGAAAAATGTTAAATGCAACTCTTAAAAATAAATTTTCCATAAGGGAAATAACCAAAATTTAATATATTTGTCATATGTTTTCTAAGAAAAATGTAAACAAGCAATTTCATATACATAAATCAAGTTATGCCAATAGAAACGACCAATTTGATTAACTTTAATTGATTAAGGTGCAGTGGGAACATGATATAAGTGTTGCTTTATCTACTGTTTGTCAGTAATAGTGGTATCATTTTTTTCTCGATGTTTATTAGCTTTGGCTTATAATCATCTGGTATGTTTCTTAATGCTATTATGTTCTTTACATTAGTTTTCTGAAAATCGTTTTAATTCTATTTTTCTTTGAATATTGTATCAAATAGTATATCAATATCAAAGAATATCAAAAAACATATTTTTATAATTTAAAAAACAAAAATTATGTGTGTTTCTTTTTAGAAAATTCTAAAGTTTAAATAATGGATCGTCAGGCACCTATTGATATGAATGCGGAAGATCGTAGGAATTTACTTAGACAAAGAATCGTAAGGTTCAATTGTGATTTAAGATACTATAATTAATAAAAAAATCAAATAAATAATATATATATACAGATTGAACTTGTTCTTCATGAAGTTGAGGAATCAAGACGCGAGCGTTTAGCACAACTTATGTACCAAAGAGGTGTTCCAAGAGAGGGTTTTGGACGGTACGCCAATCCAGGATTGCGAAGACGCACAGTAGCAACTAGGCCAGCAACTCAAAACGTGCATATGCGTCAAACTCGTGGGATATTTGCGATAGCAAGTATGGGAGCGATGCTTCTATATAATAGCAACATACTTGGGCTTTGTGGTAGTTGTATTTCACAGCTGTAAGACAAACTGTTTCATTCGTTTTATTTAAATTAATGTTTCTTAAAATTAATAGCGGAGATGACCTATTGAACTTTGTTTGTAATGATGTGGTTGATGGCTTTAATGTGACAAAAAATCTTTTCAATACTGTTATTCAGTCATTATTTTCTAGAATTTTTTGAAATTTTATTTTTATATCAAAACTATCTTATGGATTGTGGATTGAAGTCAAAATCTTATAATTGTATGAAAATTCTATGGAGTAATTTTTATTATTATATATTGTAATACTAATACTAACAATAATCTAATCTCGTAATATATTTACTAATGTATATTACTTAACGAGAATAAAAAATTGTATGATAATTAATCATCACAAAATCGAATTTTCTGTTTTTTTAAATAATGTAACTGTAATCATTAACTTTCTTTATATAGTACAAAAAGAATACTAGTAGATATTTTAATAATACAAATTTAGATATATTTAAAAGGAATCAATCAAAATTATTAAGCACACCTTTACGGAAGAGGTCACTAAACTCTGTAAAATAGTTTCTACACTACTCTTTATCGAAACAACAGGATTTGGAGACAGTTGACGGTAGCAGTGCAATATCCCATACCCCATACCAATGCTAATAATAATTGAGTATAATAATATTACAATGGTAAGCCAAGTTCAAGAATAAACTTGAAACTACACCGGGTTTTCAAAATTAATTAGTGTCAAATTTTACAGGTAAAATAAAGATATTGACCTTTACTCGTACACTTCACTACAGGTATTCATGAAACCATCTCAGGAATGTTAACAATTGATCAGGGTCTGCTAAATAGACATATTATTTATAAAACGGCGACACAGCACTATACAGCATAACCTAATTTGGTATAGTTCCTTTGATCTTTTATCATTATTGAAGACTAAAAAATGCATAAGAGAATAGAGCAACTAATAATTCGAAGGTATTCGATCTGGAAAATATAGCGAGTGTAATGCTACCTCATATATAAAGTGGAAAAGCTTTTAACGAGTTACTAAACTTATAAGATATTCTACATTATTTTGTTGAAACACTATATCTTTTTCTTTAATTAATTTGAGCTCTTTTGTTTGATTCAGTAAATTAATTTACACACATGTTGGAAGTACACTATAGAATTCTTTATAATATTCTCCAATAGGAGCTTCAAAACTTCAATTACCTTGAAATCTCTTTCAAAGTGATTTAAACCGAAATGCTTTTACTCCATTATCTCTTGCATTTAGATATTCTTTAATATTCTTGGAGAAAATCCCACTCTCGTCTCTAGTAATCTCTAAAATCGTTTTATTGATATTTCAAAAATAAATCAACATCAATGAGACGAAGGAATTTTTGTTCTGTAAGTATATCTGAAACCCATAACCAAACTTGATATGTTTTGAAATAAAACCAAGTTATTGAACTTATTTATAATAAGTTATAATAGTCAAATTTAATAAATTTAAACTTTGAGTGAAATTAGAGTCATCAAGTCTCAGTATATATGAATCAATTCCTTTATTTTGTCTTTATAAATAAAGAGGTCCCGTAAAGAAAATTTGAATAATATTGTATTCTATTAATGATGGTATGGCCCAAACAATATATTGCAATTTCAATTTGATCGGAAACTTAAACACACGGATAAGTAAATGGTTCGGTAACATATATTACATATATTTATTTAATTATTATATATACTTTACATACATTATACTTACATATATTATACTTACATATATTTTTATACTATATATGACCATATATGAATAATTTGAATATGCACAATATAGTAATAATCCATACAGAGATAATAATTTATCTCTTTACTATACTAAAAATTTAACAATATCTACAACTAATGATCATATTTACCTACCCGGTACTTTTAATATTACGGGTTTTTCCTTTTAGTTTTAGTTGTAAATTTTTTCAGATCTATTGATACTAACTAACATTATCAATGATACAATTATTATTATTATTAAAAATATAATATATATAAAATAAAAAAATGATAAGAACAAAGTTTTTTGGGGGTACATTTTGCAGACTTCACAAAAAATGGAGCTCACGGAGAGTAAAAGTGTTGAAGCAGTAAAAAGCAATTAAATATAAAAAAGTAAAAGAACGTAAGAATTAAAAGAAACGAAAAAACAACAATAGAGTAAATAAATTATTAACAAAATTAGTATAAAAAACTTAACAGATAAATAAATACAAAATATAGTTTATAAATTATGATGAATAATTAAATAAGTAGACAAGAGACGAGGTGGCCGAGTGGTTAAGGCGTTGGACTGCTAATCCAATGTGCTCTGCACGCGTGGGTTCGAATCCCATCCTCGTCGAAATTTTTTAATAACTATATTTAGAAGAAAGTAAATTGAACAAAATTTTAATTATAAAATGCAATATTAATTTCATTAATTTAATTGTATTAATTTTAAATAATAATTATTATTGGTGCGTTAGTTTTACTGGTTTTATAAACCAATATATGTCTCTGTCAGAACTACGTATAAATTTGCTAGCTCTAATAAAGTTTATATGAACTAAGTGCATTGATGGCATAAGTTATTTAAAATTTCATATATTTTTATAATTTTAAACATTTTTTTATATATATATTTTAATCACTTAATGGTGTGCATTTGAAATCTGTTTTTATTTCCAATCTAACTGTCAATACAGCCAATCAGTTTTACACTGCTTGGATCTCTCATTTCCACATGTTTATTATCCTTGCAGCACTCAGCATCTGACTTCCCAGTGATATGTCAATTTTCTTTTATATAAAGTTGCTTTGGAATTGTAATACTTCTAGAACTCTCTTTTTCCTATGACACATTTTTATTTATATTTTCTATTTGATTCTTTTTATATAAATTTGTGTTTTATTTATTAAAATTGCTTACAATTTCAATAGTTTTTCTACGATTGACTTTTTGGCCAAAGTGAGACATCATACCTCGTATTACTTTTTACCGAAAAAAGGAATACAAGGTGCTAAAATACGAGCGTAATGCATTTTTCAATCGATATATAGAATAACCGAAATCAGTTAATATATTAAGAGAATCATAAAGTTAGACATCGAGTCTGATTAAATATTAAATGAAGAACTAAAACAAAAGTAGCAATTTGCGAAAATATCTAAGATTGATCGCAGTAGTATTTCTAAATACCTATAAGTAAAGAGTATAATATATTGGATTAACTAAAAGACAAAAATGGGGAATGTCGAAAAACAATTTATAAATTGTTTCGGAAACCATAGAATTTTGATAAGGGATTGGGGGAAATTTTTTTTGAATGTGTTTTTGCAGTTTAAATTAATTATAAATTAAATTCCCATTTAAGGTAGGAATACTAATCTCTCGATTAACACCTAAGAGTACCAAGCACCAAATCATAGATTTCTTTACAGGACATTACCGTCTGAAATATCACCTTCATGAACCACGATTATCTGCTGATTCACAATTCAGATTATGCCTCGAAGATGAGGAAACTACTATGCATATTCTTTCTGACTGTCAAGCTTTAACATATAGAAGAAACTTATTTCATATGGAATTTCTGTGACTAGAACAGATTAAGAACTCTTCTCTAGATTTAGTTTTAAAGGGCTTTGTGTAATCAATAGTAAAATTGGTGCAATAGAACTCTTTTGGTATCCACTGTTGGGCGATTTCACGTCTATAAATTTAATAATAATAAGTAACAAATAATACAAAAAAAAATCAATATATTGAATTAACCTAAATTGAATTAGAGTGTGTCGATATTTCTGATAAATAATTACCAATACCAAAATGTTGAAAAACGTTTCGAAAAGCCAATATGAAAAGGATTTACCATCACATAGTATGGTAATCACACAAAATTGGTTTTATACCAACGTCTTCCGATCCAGACTCAACAACAGACAAATAAAAAATTTATTTTCAGATAATTCAGATAATGCTTTGTGTTTGATTGGTTCAAAAAGATGTGATATACCATGAATTACTAAAACAAAATGAGACTTTTTCTAGAAACCACTACCAAATATCCTTAATTTATATAAAATAAACTTTTATCGAAAAACAACAGAAATATAATCAGCCATTAAGACGGCAATACCATATCACATATTAATAGAAATAAAAAATTTTCGATTGGGAAGAATGGAATGGGAAATCTTACCACATCTGTCACGCATTCAACAAACATTGTTTCATCAGATTACCATTTTCTCTGATCAATGAGCAATGCTATATGTTAATCGAGCTAGGGTTCAGTAACTTGAAGCAACCAGAATATGGACACTGAACTGAATATGGAATTCTTCTGAGTCAAAGTTCGTGTGTTATCTAATGGGTATAACAGTCCAAGTAGGACATTGGCTTCCATAATTTCGTATTCTTTAAAGGTCCTCAAATACACAAATAATCCATGTTTTGCGTTGCAACATGATCTGCTCATTTCAATCTTCGCCTTGCCTTGCCTTGAGTTGGATCTGAAGCCCATCATTTCTAACGTTGCGAGCTGCTTGTGCTAGTCCGATATGTTACTTATATATATAAAAGGGAGGCATCACTATAGTAGCAATATGCGAATGAAGTAGAATGACAGGGTAGAAGCGAGGCAGTCGAAGTTGAGCAGTCAGTAGTAAGTCGTCAGTAGTTGCTCTCGGTAGCCAGCAGTCGGCAGTCGTGTATATTTAATTATTAACTTTTGTATATTTAATTATTAACTTTAATAAAGTCTAATAAATTGAAACAATTTAAACATTTAATCTTATCTTTTACATATATATAAGTCCGTTCTTTTTAATTTTGTTGTTTTTTTATAGTGCGAAGTACTATTATTAATTTAATAATAATATAATCTTAATAATGACCAGAAATTAAACAAAAGCTTCTTTTTTTGAGTTTTACGTACACTTTCCTGGTACTAATAGATTGATAGAAGTATAATCAGAGAAAACTGATTTATATAGATATCCTAATCTGTAAAAATCGTGTCCATAATTTTGTTCTTTCTTGCAAAAAAAGAGCTTTAACTGACACATTCTAATTGGGAACGTAAGTGAACATTTGGTTATTCATTTCTTGATTTTGATTATTAAAACCAAGACACGGAAGTATCTTTATTTATGTAGAGTATTCTCATTTGCAAGATCTCTCAATCCGCTCTCTCTCACTCTCAATTCTCTCAAAAAAGGCATTTATAGATTGGATAGTTTGAGGCATAACAAGGTGGAACATTTTTATCCAAGCATTTAGGACATTTATTAAATATAATAATATTTAACATATGTATCACATATATTCACATATTAAGTACATTCCTAGAAGATCAACTGTTCA